AGCCCATGTGTACACAATTCCCCCCTCCAGGTCTCACGCATCCAGTGCCTCATGTGTTCTGAAGCTCCTCAGAGCTGTCCAAACCCCGGACCCCCTCCCTAAAGTCACAGGAAGCAGTGAGACCCTGGAAATAGGAAGGTTTGGGTCTGCAGTTGGTTTTCACTACTGGGGCGTTGGTCGTTGAGGGAGATTGTTTGGGGTCTGACACTATAGAGTTAAACAGTACCCCCTTATAGGGGGTGCTATAAGGAATGGGAAATGGGAAAATGCTGGCTTCCAGGCTCCAGGGCCACCCTGTATGGTGAGAGGCAGGCAGAAAGCCACTGTGATATCTGTATTTCTTGGGGCAGTGGTTTCAAAACTGGCCAGACATCCGGATCACCTGAGAAACCCATGAAGATGACAGATTTCTAAGGTTTTCACTCACTGGGTCCAGAATGATGCCAAGAGCCTATGATTTTGTCAAGCATGCCAGTCAATTCTGCTGGTCACTACTACTCAGAAGAGATGTGCAAGGTGGCACAAGCACAAGTCAGGGTAGGGCAGGCTGGGCTGTGGGTTGGCAATGGCTAGCCTCGCCCAAGGCATTTGCTTGGTTAATGAATGGCTGCTTGCACCCCACTTCTTTGAAACATGCACTTGTGTTTGCTGGACAAACCACAGGTTCATAGCTGGGGACACTGTCTACTCCCCACACAGTGGCCACCAGGGTTGTGAGCACCCTTTCCCAGATGGCCCACTGCCCTGATCTCCTCCCCTCTTCCCAGCAGCACATCAGCCACTCAGGGTTACCAGGACAACATCGCTTTACAAAATCCACTTCCCGGCACCTCCAGCCCAGGCCCTCTGATAACATCCAATCCCTTTTCAGTTAATGGAAAAACCCTGAGCTTTGGCAGGCTCAAAAGCACAGATCAGTTACATAATGACAAGCAAACAGCCTTCTAGGTCAGAGGCTCTGCTGTGACACAGAGGGCAAGTCCAGGGACTGTGACCCCTGGCACTAGTCCCCCTCTGACAGCCACAGAGAAGGGAGGCTGGCTGGCACCAGCAGGAAGAAGATTTGACAGATGTGAACACTGGGCCCTCAGCTGGTACCCCAAGCCCCTATCTTCTGGCTTGGACATGGCTAAAGTGAAGCAGCAGAGCTGTAGGACTCTGAGGAAACAGTGTCCTGCAGGCACAAGGCCCTACAATTCCAGGATTCAGACCCAGGCAGGAGCCTGGGGCTCGAGTGTTACAGGCTTTGGTAGCCTCTTTCATTCAAACACAGGAGGGAAATTGTGATTATACTTGCTGTGCCTCTACTTCTGCAGACATAATTTAAATCCGAAGTTCCCATCTTGAGGCCAAGGTATATTTGTCATTCTAATTTACCCAGACTGTCTTCTGTAGAATTCAGAAATAGCTGATAAATATTTAGCCCACAATACTTCGGACAGAATTGCCAGGCAACAAAAACTGAAAACAGGGCTAGGCACAGTGGCTCATACCTGTAATCCCAACACTTTGGGAGGCCAAGGTAGGGGGGATCTCCTGAACTCAGGAGTTCGAGACCAGCCTGGACAATATGGTGAAACCTCATCTCTACAAAATACTAAAAACTAGCTGGGCATGATGGTGCATGCCTGTAATCCCAGCTCCTCAGGAGGCTGAGGTGGGAGGATCGTTTGAGCCCAGGAAGTCAAGGTTGCGGTGAGTTGTGATCATGCGACAGCACTTCAACCTGGGTGCCGGAGTAAGATCCTGTCTCGAAACAAAATAAAACAAAAAACAACACACACACACACACACACACACACACACACACACACACACACACAAATACACTGAAAACAGTTCTCAGATCCTGCTGCTTTGCTCCTGAATTGGCTCCTACAGTCTGGGTTTGTGTGTGACAACTGATTCATTAAGTTTTAGAAGAAAGAAGTCTTTAGTACCTATTTATAGACAGGGAAATTGAGGACCAGGAAACTGACATGCCGCTCAGTACATCAGTCACGGAGCTAAACTGAAACCCCTGTCTCCTGCTCCCAAAATCTGAACTTCCCACCCGCCAAGCCGTCTGTCCTTCAGCCCTAACATAGTGCACAGAGACCCGAGCCTTATTCTGCCCTGGGCATGGCCCAGAGCCAGAGCCCAGGCTGCACAGATTCTGAACACCAGCTTCCCTTCCAGGAATGCTCTGAGCATGGCCTTCAGGTTTTTACTCCACGCAAGATGCAGCAAAGGAAGACTGCAGCTAGGAGATGTCTTTCAGCTCCGTGGTCCAAAAACCAACGTAAGAAATGAATGGAAGAGACATCTACTCCATTAGAACAAATGGCAGGGCTCAAGAGGTTGCTCACAGCCATCCCCACTCCTGCAATCTCAGGGGAATGAGCTGCCTGGGGCCCCTCAGGCCTGTCTGTGGAGTGCGTGGCTTCATTGGGTTCTCTGTGCAAGAGATGTCAACCATTGTCTATTCCTTAGTAAAGGAAGCTGCCTGTCCTCAGTCCTTCAGACAGAGAAAGAGGGAGCGAGAAGGGATGGAGAGAAGTAGGGAAGGGAGGAAGGGAGGAAGAAAGGAAGGGAGGAGGGGAGGGAGAAAGGAAGAAAGGAAGGAAGGGAAGGAGGGAGGGAGGAAGGAAGAAAGGGAAGGAGGAAGGAAGGATGGGTAGGAGGGAGGGAGACTGTTTGGAGGGTCATCTTAAATCCAAAATGTTCCTCTTGTCCCAGGTCCTGGAAGGCCTGGATGAACTGAAATTTCTATCTTTGGACTTTCATGAGAATCCTGTATCTTTTTTAAAAATTGTTTTTCTTGGCATGTTTCTTACAGAAAAAGAAACCTGTATCTTCAGATTAACTCCGCCTTCTCCCCAGCTAACACACATCAGGCTTCCATTGCTTGCAGATAAAAACTGAGAAATGAATACAGAGAGGCAGTCTGTCTCAATTCCAGACTGAAGGAAGAATAACGTGACTGCAGATACATTTAGAGAAAGGAGCTCGAAAGAGATGGTCAGGTGCTGGATCAGGGAGAGAACAAAGCCTGACCCATCCGGAAGCACTGACCATGGCAATCTTCCTTACTATCAAATAGAAATAGGAGCCTTCATGCCCTGCCAGGTGAGCCAAGAGAAGAGAGAATCAGCAAGGAACCTCAAAGTGCTGGGGGGCAGCAGAGGAGGCTTATGAGCTGGGGAGGAGGACAGGGCATTGGTGGCATAAAAAGCTCTTAAAGCAGGAATGTGAGGCTGTAGTGATTGAGAGAGAGAGAGAGAGAGAGGAGGAAAAGAGCCCCGTAGAAGGAACTAAGAGAAGCAGTCTGAAAGGAGGATGGAAGAATTGGAGCTTGCCCTGCAAGATTTTTTGCATTTCCCTGACTGAGGGGCAATCATTGCATGCTGGACAACCATCCCTGTGGAGTACATAACTGCATGTTTTACAGTTTCATGGCTGAAGATATTGTCCTTTATGCCCAGTGTGGAAAAGGAGGCATTCATCTCAGCACTGACCATGACAACCCTCCTTAGCATCACGTAGGAAGAACGATATAACCATCACTGGCCAGTTTTCTCATTTTCATCTTGGCTGTGAGAACATTCAGGTGTAACATTCATGCTTGGTTCTGGTCATTCTTTTGTTCTGGGTCACTGTATATGTGTGTCTTTTCTCCCTCTAAAAAGTTTCTGGTCCTTCCTTTCTCTATTTGCCATAAACTGTGGCTTCATATGTGCTTCTAAAGCTTAATCAATTTCCTGTTCCCTCGGTAAGCAGTCTGGATTGCACTGGAAGTAAGTAATTATTTTGCTCGACATCACAAAAATACTCCTCTCATTGACCCCAACTGTGTCAATATACCCTATAGAAGGGTTTTTTTTGGAATTGAAAATTCAGTGATACGGCTCTCTATGTAGGCCAGAGGCCAAGGACACAGGTCCTTCCACCCTCACCCTGATGATCCCAATGCCCTTGGCACGTCCCAGCCCTGCCCGGATAGTCCTGCAGAAGGACTCCTGGGAGAAAGCGTGCTTGACATTCAGTCCCTGGGTTCCTACCCATGCGTTCCTGTGTAATTTTTTGATGCACCCATTTGACAAATATTCATCAAGCGCTTACCAACCATGAGGTGATTTTCCTGGTAGTTCAGATACAAAGAGAAGTAAAATAGAAAACTAAGATTAACTAAAACTTTTCACAGAGTTAAAGTGGCCCTTAGCCTATTTATGAAATATTTTCCCATCTCACTGTGTGATAATGGGCCCATTGACCTATAATGGGAAGAGGATGTTACAGGGAAAAGAGGGACTGCTGGGCAGGTGGGGGACTGGAGTAGGAGTTGGGGCTAAGACTCATGAGACTCAGGAGGTCTGCGGAGAAGGGCACACCCTGCGTGACAATTTGCCTCCTCACACGCAGCTGACACACCTCCACATCGAGTCAGCCTCCTAAAATGATGCAGGAGGAAAAGCTGTTCTTTGGCTTTAAGGTCACCCTAGTGACTAAAAGGTGGCCACGGCTATGTGGGCATGATGAGAGGATTCCTAGGACTAACAACTGTTGCCCACGCAGGAGATTGCCAGGTGTTACAGTCAGGCAGTGAGAGGTTGTCTGGCGCAGCTCATGAACAACTAGAAACAATACCTGTGTCCTAGAGAGGTCTGGGCTTGCCATGGAAGGAGCTTAGGCATCCAGTAGTGGCAACTCTTGGAGAAAAGGAATAAGATCTCTCAGTGGCTGGAATCTACAGCCTACTCTGACCCAGGTGTGGCCCCACTGGGTCCTTCTAGTGGGCTTCAGTGTCTTCACCATGAAAGGAGAGGGTCAGACGTGGCCCTTTCCAGGGTGGACTCCGACCCAGCGCTGTGCTCCTAGTGGGATGGGGGTGTGCTTTGCCATGTGCTGAACCAGAACCCTTGTGCCCCACAGCCACCCTCTTCTTCTGTTCTCACCCCACAATCAAATATATCCCCTTCATTTTCCTCCCATCTACATGAAGGAAGGACTCAACACAGGGCAGAAGAAAACCAGCATTGAATTCTCTTCCAAAGCAGCAGAGAGTTCAATAGGGAGCCAAGAAGGGGGTTGAGGAACGTGCCTCTTCAGGCAGGAAACTCACAGACGGCGATGAAGGAGGCCGTGCAGGAGATGTCATTCCAGAGCCCATTGCTCAGGAGAATCACACAGTCCTCCCCTGAACCGTGGTCATTTGGCTCATCCTTCTTCCAGTTGCTGTAGGTCAGCCTCCCGCCCGTCACGTACATGAACTGGCCTTCGATTGCCTCATCTGTGATGCCCAGGAAGGCAGTGTCTTTGGCCACATCCTGGATGGCCTTATTCTCCTCGGCATTCTTGGGGGCAGCCACCGTGGCCTGGAGCCCAGCACACAGAGCCTTCACTTTGGAGAAAGGCATCCGCTCACCGTTGGTCACGAAGAGCTTCTTCCCAGACATTTTCCCCAAGGAGAAGGCTTGCACTGAAACCACAAACGGTGAGTGAGGCTGGCTGGGTTTGGAGCCCAGCCCAGGACAGTAGGCAAGTAGTCTGAGTTCTCTGGGAAGTCACATCTCTGAAAAATTGCCCTGTGCCCAGCAGCTCAGTCCAGAGCCTGGTCAGGAAGCAGACCTCAGCTGCAGAGCCTGGGAAGGGGCGTCCAGACCCCTGCAGACAGCCCAGACTCCCCTGGGATATCCCACCTTGAAAAAGCATCTGCTAAAACCTGCCTCGGCACAGGTGCACATAGGGAGACAGTCTTGGGCCCCACTGTAGGCTTGGGCACCAGGATAAGGAAGAGGCAGGGACAGACATCAGAGCACAGTAGATAACAAGGAAGGAGCACAGACTTTGGAGAGGACAGACCTCCATCCAAATCCTCCCCTGCCACTTCCCAGCTGTGTGACCTGAAATGAGTCACCAACACTTCCTGCACCTCGGTTTCCTCACCTGTCAATAAAGCAAGTTCAACAACCACAGCTGAGGTTGCTGAGAGGATTGAATGGAACCATCTTATGGGAAAATGCCACCCAGCACAGGCCCTGGTGTAGAACAAGTGTTCATGAGTTAGTTCCCCTCCCACCTCCTCCAAACCTAGAGTGTGCTGAAGAAAAGAGTGAGAGCCAAGAACACATTATGGGCAGAGAGAAAGCTCACGCTTCTTCATGTGGTCCAGTTCTGCTCTCAGGCTCTGTAGCTGTCTCTCTAAGTTGGCCAGCTTAGCCTCAGCAACTACAAAGCAACAGGGAGAAGGTATTTATGGAGAAGACCTTAAGTTGGAGAGTGGAGCATTTTGAAAAAAACAAAGTGGCTTACTAAGAAGAATGCTTATTCGAGGAAAATAAGAAAGCAAAAGAAATAAAAGGGGGAAAATGACTACATTCCTGCTTCCCAGCATATATCTCTACATCCCTTCACAACCCGGAACTTCAGGCCTGGACCTCTGTCTCCACATACGGCTTGCATATTGTCATATTGTAAGAATTCATAAGTAAATACTCAACTCATTACTCCTCTTTCTGAAAACATTTCTTTGTCATTCATTTTCATTTCTCATTCCAGATACACTTTTTAATACCTTTATTATTTTGACAGACTGGTAGACAAATATGAATAAGTAGGTTGTCATTGTTCTTTTGTTCTTACTGAATTTGCTCCATTTTTCTCTGAACTAAGTTGCTGTGATGTTCCCCGTCACCCAGGGGTCCTAAGAGGCAGAATGTTTTCATGCCATTCTTGTGACAATGGACATAAACCCAACCCCTAAACGGCCTATTTCTTCCCTGGCACCCCGGAGGTGCACACTGGACTGTTTCCACTGAAGAAAAGCCAGGGTCCATCTGCTAAGGGGCCTGACGAGGGAATGGCCCTACATGGCTTGAACATCTGCATCTGGGCACCTATGGGAGTCCCCTCAGGCCCCAAGTAAAGCTGAGAGGACCAGGGGCGCTGGGCCAGGATGCAAAGTTGTGCATCTTCCCATGAGGCAGCAGGAGAAGGGGACCTCCCAGTTGGCCCTCCAGCTCCCCAGGCCCGGGACCCCCAGGCCACCATGCTGAGGTATGCCCCTTACCTGAATTGTCCCCACGATCTCCTTTTTGTCCCCTTGGTCCTGGAATTCCAGGAGCCCCTGTGTTTCCTGGGGGCCCCAACTTCCCAGGAGGGCCCTGCAAACCTCTGAGCCCTTGACCTGTTGCAAGACAAAGGGAAAATGACCCAGTGACTGTCATTCTTTTTTTTTTTTCCAAAAATCTCAATACTCCATTCATGTTTACCCCCAGAACAGCCAGTGAGCTAGCGATTAACCCATAAAAGAAAGAGCCTCCTGCATCCCAGTGGAGGGCCTGCACCAAGCCCAGCTCCCCAAGCAGGCGGGACACCCCTCTGTAGGGACAGCCACACACCCCCCGTTCCTGTGTGGAAATATGGGATCCCAGAGAGTCAGCGAGCAGGTTTGTTTTGGAGACAATGGTATTTTACAGGGATTGTTCTGAGTGTAGCTTGGGTCCTGATGAAAGGGGAACCTTAAGCCAGGTGCGGTGGCTCACGCCTATAATCCCAGCACTTTGGGAGGCTGAGGCAGGTGGATCACGAGGTCAGGAGATCAAGACCATCCTGGCTAACACGGTAAAACCCCGTCTCTACTAAATATATAAAAAAAATTAGCAGGGTGTGGTGGCGGGCGCCTGTAGTCCCAGCTACTCAGGAAGCTGAGGCAGGAGAATGGCATGAACCCGGGAGGCGGAGGTTGCAGTGAGCCAAGATTGCACCACTGCACTCCAGCCTGGGCGACAGAGCAAGACTCTGTCTCAAAAAAAAAAAAAAAAAAAAAAAAAGAAAGGGGAGCCTCCCAAGTCTGTGCTTTAACCCTTGTGTGGCAGGCTCAAGCGCAGATTTGCTTGAACACCTGCTGGAGGTAGAGATTTAGGAAGCCACAGAAACCTGTCCCAGACCTGGCTCTCCCTTTTCCCCCTTGGGTCCATCTCGCCCATCTCTGCCTGGGGTGCCATTGGTGACGGGGATGCCACAGGTAATCACGGAGCAAGTCTTCTGGGCATCCTCACAGGCTTTTGTTTCGGAGCAGGAAGGTGTCACCACAGACAGGAGAAGGACAGGGAATGACAGAAACAGGAACATGGTCCTTACCTTGAAGTGAAGAAAGTGAAGGAAGGGAATTTCATCCCATCTGATTTAAATAGCATTTGCTACCCACTGTGGTGTGCTGGACCCTGTGCTGGGGACAGTGGACACAGAGGGGACCATCACAACCCCTGGCTGTGAATGACTTTCAGGCTACTAGGGAGATGGGTGGGTAAAAAATGTGAGAGTTAGATCAGTGCTAAAACAAAGGCAGGTGCAAGATGAACACGAGCCTATTCTCCCTGGGATCCCAGAGCTCCTGCCAGCACAAATCTTAACAGGTAGGCACCTCCTATTCGACAGCCCACAGGGCTCGAGGATTATCCATGAGCCCTGTGTCCAGTGTCCAGACAAAGGTGAAGAGAGCTCATTGCCTGTGTGAGCTTTGGCCCCTGGATTGCTCGGATTTCTTTCTAAAGTGCTAAAGGAGCCATGGTTTCCTTCTTCCTTTCCTATGGAAGGAAAGAGCTGTACTCAGACTGGGGCAGGAGACCTGAGGTCCCACAAGGTCCATCTCTTGGCTGGACTTGGTTGATGATATCCACGCTCTCACTTCCTATAAAACTTCTGATTGACATGGTGGGGCTCCAGCTGTCCTCAGAGCAGCCCCTGTTTCCCCAGATGCTTCTTGACCATCTTGCATAATGTCTATTTTGTGACAGGCACTTGCTGTGGGATTGGGACCTAGAGTGCCCTGAGGCAGGATTCTGACCTTCAAAATGGGAACTTTTTTGGTGATTGATCCTGTGCAGATGAGACTTCTCTTGGTTTGAGATCTTCCACTGAGAGGCCATTTCACCACCAGGCTCTGAAATTTCTGCTCAGCCTGAGTCTGGAGGGATTCAGCTCCTGCTCCCCATCCTGGAGGTTGCCCAGATGCCCCTCAAGCTCTGTGCCCCTACCCAGCCATCAGAGTCTCTTCAAGCCTTTGTCCAGGTTGGCCTGTCCTCCAGGACACTTGGCAGCCGGGACCCCATGGGACTCTCCCTCTGCTCTGCTCCAGCCTCAAATCCCAATATTCTGACTCTTGCTGCCCAACACTGCATCTGCCTTTGCTATCCCAGCCACAGTCCCTTAACCCTTCCCTTCCTCCAGGACACAGTGAGAGATGCCCAGTTGGAAGGGAACTTTTGTGGTCATGTCCTTCTCCAACTTTCCTCTTTCTATCATTCTTGTCTTTTTTAAAAAAATCTCTCCTGTTGGTGCTGAATTGGCACTGGATGCCACAGTCAAGCCTTGTACCTGTCACTGGCGCACTATTCTTCACTTTGGCAAAGACCACCCTTTAGTTTGCTGATGGCCAAGTGGATACAGGAAGCTCCCAGTTGCTTGGGCCAGAGGGAAAGAGAGGCCCCAGGTGGACCTGATGACCACCCCCAAACCCCTACCTCACCAGGATTCAGTCAAGAAGCCAGTCTCTTGGCCCAGGCCCCTACTTCTTTCCTCCAGAAATGACTTACTAGGGCTTCCTCGGAGCCTGGAGTTAGTGGCAGGGAAGCTTGTCCTCCAGCCCAGGCCTCTGACAGGTGCCTCAGCGACGTCCAATCCAATCAGTGTGGTGACCAGGGACAGTGCTGGATTGGCCTTCAACCCCAGATTAATAATCAACCATCCCTAGAACTACTGTGTCCTGGGCAGCTCTCCAGGGCTGCTGACAGGGTCTCTAGCACAGCACTGGGCAGCTCTCTACATTAGTGCCCTAACCCCCCCCCCCCCCCCCCGACCTCCTCGCAGGCATCCATCTCTATGACGCAGCGCCTCTGAGCTTCCAGAGTCACAGGTTCCCAGGGTAGTTTTCTTCAGATATTTATTTTCAGAAGAAGAATGCATAGATTTTCCACCAGACAAATGCATGCACACACACATACACACACATGCACACAAACACCCACATGTGTACACATCTTTGTATCAGTTGATTGAACTACTTCCATTTGTGTTTTGTTTATTATAGGGCTAGGGTGGAGAGACTAAACACCCCTAGCACTGAGTCACCTCCTTCCTCTCTTCTCATTTAGAATGTTTGTCAAATGTCTTCTTTGGGCATCTAGGCACACAGGGCCAGGCACAAGGGGAAGGGGTATTTGCAGCTGACTTCAATCCAAAGCCGAATGTGGGTGTTGGCGCTCGCTGCTCCCTCTGTCCAGATATCTCCTTGTATCTTTGCTTACTGGTGGCATATTGATTGACCACCAACCACCCCCCATCCCTGTAGAATGAGAAGCTCATGAGAACAGGGGTCTTGTTCCCTAGCTGTTGTTTCTCCACCGAGAAGAGTGCCTGGAAACAGAATCAATGCTCAATAAACATTTGTGGAACAAATGAATCCTCCAGCAGCGTGTCCTCAAATCAGCCCTCTTCTCTCTGACTGGAGCTACCATCTGTGCCCCCTTTACCAGTGACCTCACTTTTCTAGGGCAGGAGCTGTACTCAGTTGACATCTCTGTCCCCAGGGTGCAATCCAGGGCTGGGCACAGAGGAGGATTTGGTACAAGGATGAAGAGAGAGGCAGAGACTTAGACCATCTGTGCTCATCCAGGCCTGAATTTCCAGAAGTGTCCAGTTCTTGTCACCAGAGGCTGGTCAAGCCATTCAGGTCCCGGATGTGAACTTTAATGCTTGCCTTCCTCCTAACTCACACCCAGTCTTTGAAATGCTTCATGTCACCAAATAACTTCAGAGGTTTGTTTTTCCCAGGTGGGGAGTGAGGTGGGTCACTTCCCTGTGACTCTGCCTGGTGATGGGGATTTTGGTTTCTCAAGGGTCCTCACCCTGTGTACTCATGTTATCAGGCCCCATCCAGTGGCCCTCTGGTTCCCATTCAGGGGGCCTGCCACGCACCAAGAGGGGCCCCCAAGGTAAAGAAGATCACTCTCAGAGCTGGATTTCCTGATGCCATTGACACAATGTTGAAGGGCCCATAGGCCCAGAAGACAAAGGACTTTCAGTTCACACAGCAAATAGGCAGATCTCCCAGGAAGGTGGGAAAGTGGAAATGACAGATTTGCATTGAGCCGGGATCCTAACTGTGCTGCAGACTTAGAGAAAGGGTGGTTCTGAGTGGGCAGAGGGTAGGCAGGAGGTAAATACACCTAGGAGCAAAGAAACCTGAGAAAACCTGGATTCTGGAGGGGATGAGTTTCTCCCCCAAAGATGTGTACCCATAGGTCTGTCCTCTCATAGACTCAGAGGTGAATGTATGCTGCTCTTATGACTATTACTGAATTTTGTTATTTATGTCAAGATGAAAAATTGTGTTTAAAGTGTCTCAGCGCAGCATGATCTCCTGCATTGTGGAGACATAAACTCAGTGGAGAACCACACCCACAGCCCAGGCACCTCGGTGGTGTCTCAGATGGAGGCCAGGCAGATTTGAGTTCATCATGGGACAATTATCAAATACAGTAGGGGATAAGCAGAGTGAGAGCTGATAGAAATGACAAGCCTCAGAAATAGCCCTCCAAGGAGTGTGGACCCTACATGACAGATAAATTAATATGCACTTCAAAAGAGGGTATAATGAAGGAATAAATGAGAATTATGTAATTAAATTAATAGACTAGAATTAAAAATACTATAGAGCTAATAAAATTGAATACTGGTTCTTTGTCAGAGACATAAACTTAGCAAATATGGTTGTGGTCATTTGGGTTGTTTCCGCCTTGTTGTAAAATTGCATCTCAGGCCCTTTGCCATAGGACTTCATAAAGGCTCCCACTAGAGTGTGAGAAGTAAATACTCCAGTCCCTTTACTGTTTGGTGTGGCCATGTGACCATGAGCTACAACGAAGCTTTACGTGTGCTTACAGGTTTGATATGGTTTTTGTGTTTCTTTCCCAATCATGGGTAGTGTATATCCTGGAAAGTTACATGGAACAGACACGAACTCATCTGAAAGTCTGGAGTGCAGCTAACTGCTGCTGAGTCCAGGCTCGCTCAGCTGAAACCAGCCAAAACTCAACAAACTGGAAGATACAGAGCAGGAAATAAAAACGTTTATTGTTGCAAGCCCTGAGAGGGAGATTTACTATTGTGTTAGCTGACTGATACAATATCAATGATTAATAGAAAAGGTATAAGAAATTAACAAATCAGGAAGGAAAAGGGATTATTATACTAATATAGATAGTACTAACATTATAAAATTATACCATCTACAGTAGATTTTATAGCAATATATTAGAAAACTAGTTAAAATACATAATATTATAAGAAAGTTTATAATTGCTTACTTTGGCCCTAGAAGTGTTAGAATAATGAATATATTATTGTATCACATGAAATATTAAAATGGAAGTCAAAAATTATCAACCATTTCTCCATCAACAAAATGGTTTTAAGGTGAGTTGTAGCAAATCTTCAGAGAAAAGGTAATTTCTCTGTTATAGAAATGATTTGTGTCTACAGCTACTTAGCTAACATGATTAGCCGAATATGTAACACAGAATGCATAAGGACAGAAAAACAGAAAGGGACTCTCAGCCAACCTAATCTGTTAAGTACAGATGCAAAAATGCAATGTAAAAAATAGCTATTAAGACCAGCAATGTATTTATGGTTAATAGAAGTCTCTGGAATCTGATTTCCTACATTCATTAGCCCATGAATTAACTGCATAATATTTGGTAAATCACTTTGACCTCTACATGCCTCAATATTCTTATTTGTAAATTTGAAAGAATGATAGCATCTATAAAATAGGGTTAATGAGGATTACATGAGTTAATACTAGTGCCTGGTCCATAGTCTGTGTAATGAGTGTATCAAGCATCAGACCACGTAGGGTATATCAGAGGAATGCAAGGATGGTTCAACATCAAAAAATAATGTAAATCACTAATTTAATAAAGAGCAGGTTTCATTAAGAGCCTAAATTTATATCTCTTAGATCTTGGAACTTGGAGTTCTTTTGTTCTCAAAACTAATATGTAGTCTCAAAACTCTTGTCTTTGACAGGCATTTAGGTTGATTCCATGTCCTTGCTATTGTGAGTAGTGCTGCAATGAACATTCACATGCATGTGTCTTTATGGTAGAATGATTTGTATTCCTCTGGGTATATACCCAGTAATGAGATTGCTGAGTCAAATAGTATTTTTCATTCTTTTTTTTTTACATTTCGTAAGTATAATTCATAAATAAATACTTCATAATTTCTGGTTTGATCCCCCAGAAAGATACAATAATTCTAAATATGTATGTACTTACAAATATGGCCTCAAAAC